AAATGCCCCATGTGACTCACAATAAGTCTGATTCACACGTGATGGGAAATTATATGTCACGTGAATAATATCAGCTTTCAGAGTTAGCACACTCCATACCTGATGCTTTGGCAAGGTACATGATCCGAATACTCTTGTTATAGAGGATCTAATTGCACTGTAAAACTCAATCGGACGAGTTATCGTTAAAATATGCTTCGTCATAGTCGAGCTCAGCTTCTTCCTCTTCTTCATAACCAAATTCCTCATTAGCAAGGTACCCATATGCATTGTCATCAAAGTCGTATTCTTCATGTCGAGCTTCGGCTTCTCCATTTCCGAGCTCGATTGTGCCTTCATGTTGATCGAATGGATCGTCATCAGAAGCGGATGAGCTACTATCAGAATCGACGAAAGTTATTTGCATGCCTGCGTATGCCGGTTCTGACCCCTGTTGGTTCGATTGTGTCTGGGAAAGGTCACCAGCTAGACCCTTTAGCGTTGCAGTTTTGAATTCAGAAGAATTAAACCTTGATACTCACTTGTGGCATTGTTAATGACATTTGTGTGCTTAATCGAGCGAAGATCGTTCGTTACGCCTTCCATAGTAATTCGCCTTTCGGGAGGTGATATCCAACACTTTGCGCAGATCGTCCATGCGTGTTGTAAGAAAGGATGCCAATCGTCATACCCAGGAGGACAGGAAGGTAAGATGTGCTCTGTGATGGCACGCACCACGAGGGCGTCACTCCTCAAATGAGCGTACGGCAGTCCTCGCGCGAGTATCTCCTAGCAACAATACAAATTTTCTGTTATTCACAACTGAAAAAAGGGAAAAAAAACGTACAGCTCACATAAACAGTCATTCCAAATGCCCAGACATCCGTTTGCTTTGTATGACGACTGTCGCTGGAAAATTCGAGGAGTTCGTGTGCCATCCACCTCAAGGAACCTTTTATTCCTCCCGAGCTCACTGCTGCCATAGTGAGAGAAGCAGACAGCATCCTTAATATGCCAAAATCACAGATAACGGTTCTCCGTGATTACCAATCAGGATGTTGTCCTGAGAGAAAGCAATTAGTCGCCATAGGATTACTTTAAGAGAAGGGACGCACCGCTTTGAGATCAGAGTGCACAACGTCCTGCTCATGCAAGTAATTTACCGCATCAGCAATTTTGACTATCTGTTTCATTTTAGAAAGCTTTTCAAGGACGGCAGGAATTAGGATGAAGCTTACCATAGGTCCAACATCTTGCTGTGGGTGGCTCTGCAAATATTCCCGTACCGTCCCATTCTCCAGCCACTCCGAAATCACGAGCGGGTAAGCTCCTTCCAGCGCGAATCCTTGAAGCGGTAAAATATTGGGGTGATCAAGCTTTGACCATACATATAGCTCTTTTGCCAGAAGCTAGGATCAAACACGATGATACATTGGATACAATTCGAACTAAATTGTGCGAGTTTGTACCTTGTCGAACTCCCGTTCCTTCTGAATATGAACACGCATCCGCTTGATGGCGACTTTCAATTTTGGGACGGTGGCTAATCTATCGGATGGGTCTTTAGAAGCCTGCATAGAAATCGTGCCGACAAATACATCGCAGTATTCACCGTTTGCTTGCATGGCTGTAGTATCGTATTGGACACGGGCCACACGGCCAGTTAGATCAAGATGAGTAAGTTTTGTCAATGTTCTCTGGAGTGTGCTGTCGGTGTCATACTGTGTTGTCTGGCTCGCTCCGGCAACTTTTCCGTCCTCAGTTAACATGAAATTTAATGCAAACAAGAAACAAAATATGAGGATGTCACTGCTAGATTGCTGTGCGTGTGTGTAAACTTTAATAGTCTTTAAAGAAGTTGATGTCAACTTGGTGATGGCACGTGATCTCGGCCAATTTCATTCCTCACATCAGGCATTTCACAATTCCTTGCCTTAAAAAATACCTTACATAATGTTAAATATTATTTGTATTTTAATTTACCATTTTTGGTTGGTAGAAATTGTAAACAAAATACAAAATTTTCTTCAGACCAAAACTATAAATTATATTTTAGATAATTATTTCTATTTATTTAAAGATTTTGTAAATAGAAAAATATTAAAAGTAATTTATAGTTTTTGTCTTAAGAAAATTACAAATTTTGTTCACAATTTCTACTAACCAAAAATGGTAAACTAAATTACAAACAATGTTTAACATTATGTAAGTTATTTTTTAAGGCAAGGAATTGTGAAATGCCCCATGTGCCTCCCCGCCACTCTCCGTCTCCCTCGTTTCATAACAAGACTTGGTCTAACCAATGACCATTGGAAGTAACAGGCTCGAGGCGTATCATTTCTCTGGATGATTAACAAAGCCGTATCTCTCGGCCAACAGGGTTCAGTACTCGACGTTTTGTATAGCCGGTATAATCAGAACAAGAAACTATACAGTCAATTATTTCTGCTCCAGAACTCAAGTACGATCTCTGTATAAAGACAGACTACAGTCAAAGGACTTTAATCACTGTGATGAAATGTCACGCCTCTCATTTTCTACATTCCTCTCCCAGCACATTTGCTCCAGCAAGCCGCCTTGTTATGCACCCTTTTCCCTCCTCGTCGATTGGTCTGACTCGGCTTGAGCCCTCAAGCTTGCCATGCTTTCTAGTGGCGCGTTTAATCCGTCCTCTTGGGATCTCAGAGACCCGTTCTTACTTTTAACCTCCTCTGCTATTTGCTCCATCTGTTGAGTTTCATCTTCACACTGTACTTCGTTCTTCGACTCTTTCCGTCCAGTTTTACCTTTGACGGTCTTCTCTAACCCTGCTTTCTTGCTTTCTAACCTAGGAACATTGATGTTGTCATATTCAGTACAAAGTTCCGCCAGTCCGTCGATGTAGAGTCTCAATGTTTCCGCCGCTCTTCGACAAAGATCTACCGATGGCTCGTGTTCCAACAAGTAAAGACAGTGTTCCAAACATGTAATGATTGCCTTGTCCATTGCGACATCACGTTGATTTCTCGGTCTGTCATAGGGATTTTTGCCAAACTGGAAGTTCTTTTCCGCATCTGAAACAAACGATTTCTTTTCTTTCTTGAATTGCTCCAGTGACTTGCCGAATTTTCGTTCTGCTACTCTCTGTTTTTCCTTTGCTTCGCTCTTCTCTCTTGTTGACTTCGATCGTATATCACTTGAGCTGCTCGTCGCCTTCTCAGAGAATTCGGCTGCTTCATTATCCATCTGTTGAGCGGCAGTTTCTTTATCCGTAAGCGCTATGACCGCCTCATTTAACGCCATGTAAATATTTTCAATGCGCCTCTTTATTTCCTTTGTTCTACCAATTTTTATTCTCATTGAAGATATGCGGATATCGGCTTCATCTCGAGTGGCCTCAAAGACTTGCTCTGAATTTACTTTTCCAGGCCTGCTGTGAGATGTTCTAGACGTCGTTTTGCTCATGATTTGCTACAGAGGACAAATGATCTGGTGTTATCTTTGGCCAAAGATAAAGGACTCGGGGGAATGATAATTGTGATACCTAGGAACATGATATTTTATGCCGTTTTCAAGTTCCCGTGTGGCGAGAGCGTTTCATCGACGCCACCTGCTAATCGATTAGTTTAGTCGAATAGGTTATAGCTTGTTCGGTGCCACCGGCATATAAATAGGACCTATAAATTCGCAAAGTACAACCGTACTGTATGTAGTAATAACGAAAGCATTCGCTGCCAGTTACGACCTAGATGGATGCAATATTGATAGCGTCTGTCCAGCTTTAGTGATTTAATCGACTATGCCACACTCTTCGAGTTCCTCAGGAGGTAGTTCAACTAGCTGCATCGTGCTGAGAAGCACGACAGTAAGAATGTTGCATGGTTGAGTCGATTGCAAGGCGTATGCCCTGGTTCAGATCTGCACGTCGGATTTGTTAGACAATGGATATCCATAATTCAACTCCGAAACAAGAAGCAGCTACTTTCGTAAGCGCGGTCTGCTAATCTTGGATACTACTAACTAGAATCATCCTGTATCATAATTCAAGTGATCGTGGCGACCGTAGATTACAGCGCCGAGAAACTTCAAGCAACTTGCACCCTATTTGCGATACATATAACAAAAACCTACATATCACAGTGTCTATGAGACTGAACGTGCTGAACTCGTACGGACCAGAGAGAATAATGCATCCACCATTACGAACACATAGTAAACAAACGTGCTGGCCAAAAGGAGCGCGAAGGACTTTTAGAAGTGTGTAGAAGATTAGAGTGAGAATCGTAATCGCAATGAAAATCTGGCTTGGTAACAGATAAAAGGTTACCTTCTTGTCTCAGGGACAACTTCCATCATCCACCACTCCGAGTTATCACCGCCATAACAGAGCATGATGCCCGCAAAGAAATACTTCGATCCTAGGTAATCGACGCGCAACAACCCATCCTTCCGTGCTCGTTCGTACCCTATTGCGCGGGAACTTTCAACCTTCTCCACGCGTCTGTTGTACGCTCGCTTAGCTCGATCTGCGAGTACGGGGTTTACACTATCGCGGGCCCACTGCTTATTGTCGACAGTCACATGGAAGGTGTCACAGATACTCATAAGCACATCACCGACCGTGATGTATGCGCGTGATCTCGGCTGCACATAAGCAATCCAATCAGCGCATCCCTGAACTTGCACGTAGATGCGCATCTGTGTACGGTATGGCGAGCAAGCAGGTTGACGCAAGTCATCATGATTGAGATGTGTCCATTGTGAACCACGGACGAGCTTGCGCACGGATGTATATGGTAAACGAAGATCGAAGCGAACCAGTTGGTGAGAATCCATCGCCAGAAGTGGATTGACTGATGGCATGGCTGCACATGCATATAAAAATCAGAAAGCACGTAAAAATAACAGAGATGAGCTGCATACACGGATCTGGTAAACCTTGGGTCCCAATTTGAGCAGCGGCTAACGGGATTACAGGCTTGGCCGACTTCTTCGGAGCGCTAGCCGGCAACGGCCAGTTGACGTTCGCATTAGTCTCTAAGCGCTCTGTCGGTTTGCTTTCAGATGTTCTAAGAGGTCGTGAGCCGGACTGTGAAGTAGTTCTTTTTCGCGACATTCCAGGAGGGAGCGGCCAGTTCGCATTAAGCTCCAACTCGTCTTGCGGAATAGCACTTGTATTCCTAGTGCCCGAGGATCTCTTCGCCTGGGGTGTTGTCCGCAAAGGTTGTCTCGGTTGATTGGCTGGGAACGGCCAGTTACTGTTCTTCTCCCACTCGTCCCATCCAGCTGGAGGGCTGCTCCCTGGTTAGACACAAAATTCGTTAGGGGTAAAATTAAATTGATAGAGTAGTATATGCCAACCTTCTTCTGGAGGTGGAAGGTGGTAAAGATCTGGCTCTTGTTGAGTGCTGTACGTTGGTACAGGGCCAGCCGTCTCAAACGTGATCGGCTGGGGTGGCGTGTAAAACGTTTTGCCACGGATTGTGGTAGTCGAGCTAAAGTATCCTTCTGGTTGTTTACTGAAGTCCCGGTAAGTCCTTTGAGGCCTATCTGCTCTACGGGATTCGTATACAGGATACCATGACATGATTGGGACAGGCAAAAGTGGGGAAAGAGGGTGAAAAGTCGGGGAAGCTCTTTACACGGCTTCTAGATGAGATACTTATCAGACTGTGGAAAAAGTGCGGACCGTAGGAAATTCGAGTTGTCCTCGTGTAGTTGATAGAGTTGGAGTTTGCGCTTAATCTCGCCAGAGGACACTTGAGGCCCATGCACATCGATAGACGAACACGTTCAGCTAATATGTTCAGGGCAGGATGAAGACCTCCGAGACCTCCGAGAACAAAGCAAAGGGATGCATTAAGGCCAGAGACTTTTTTGAGTGTTTTGCTTTATGTTAAAAAGATGAGAAAGGCTCAACGAAGCCATCGAAAAAGAATTGAACTCACCATGGGTTCGTTTCGTCCCTGCCAATTTAGCCCTTATTGCTCGGGGTCTGCCGCTACACGTGCCAGACCTTGTCACGTGTGCTAGGAGCACCATAATAGGGACTGGCGCGGGTAGAGCTTACCGCGGTTTCGCACTGCGGATGATAATTTCCCACGGATACCATACCGCGGATGAAATTCTCACGGTTACCGCGGTTACTGCAGATCCGCAAAATACTACGAAGCTAACTTTGAAAGGTAGCAAGTTCTCACAATGACTTGTATGTAATTAGTGTAAAGCATCACATTTGTGACTAAAGTCACACCATCAAACACATTTAGTAATCCTTTTCTTTTTAACCGTGCTAAGCGTCCAACCGCGGTTTCTGCACCTGAGGGACATACTGTAAGGGGCCTAATTAGAGGGTGTACAAGACCCTTGTAGTCCCTCTAATTAGGTACCTTTTGAGCTTTTCTCCCTAACTATACTTAATACTAGACTTAAATAGTAAAAAAAATTCTAAGTCAAAATAAAATAAAATAAAATAAGTATGCTGAGTGCCCTATATGGCAACTGTGCCCTCCCCACCTGCCACACCTTGAGCTCACTGTCTCATACAGTGAGCACACACTTTCCTCTGTATCTTACTCAATTCTTAACCAAATTTCTTCATTATTCCTTTAAAATTAATGTAAATTTAGTTGGAACTCATTCATAACACAAATACAATGTTAAATGTATCAATTACTTGTGTATTTGTGTACTATTTGATAATAAAAAATACAAACAGTTTCCTCTGACTAAGATTTATGATACTCTAAACTCTTAATACTGTAATAATAGTAGAGCTTATATATCTACAGT